GGTGACAATTCCCTGCCCTCCTCCATCCTGGGATACCCTCGGGGGATCTTCATCCCACTCCAGACTCTCCGTTGGCTCGAGCAGCTGATTTGATCCATCCCGTTAAGAACTGAAGGTCGGGGCGTTCTTGGAGCAGAGGGACCCGGTGTTTTGGGATACTGGGGGTCCTTGCAGTTCCATTTCTGATGACAATTCCCGTTCCTGGTGACGATTTTCTTCCCTGGCCAGGTGGACCTGAACGAGGAGGAGACGATCCTCATCATCCGCCGCCTGCACAAGGTGCTCAGGCCCTTCCTGCTCCGGCGCCTCAAGAAGGAGGTGGAAGCTCAGCTCCCAGAAAAGGTGACACTGGAGGGGTCCCCTTTACCTTTCCCCATTCCAGGATATGATTGGGAAAAGGGGGGGGTGTCCATCCTGGGATATGCACATGGAGCTTCATCCCACTCCAAAATCGTTGCTGGGTTGGGTCGAAGAGAAGTTTGGGTTGATCCTTCTGGGGACTCGAGGAGTTCTCAGAGTGGGGTTTTGGCGTCCATCCCATTCTCCTCTAATCCTTAAAGGACTACACCTGTCCTTCCCCATCCTGGAACGTGCAGGTGGGGTTTCACCCTGCTCCAGCACTCGCTGCTGGGTTGATTTGAGCAGGTTTTGATGCCTCTCTCTCTGTCTCTCTGGGAATTGGTGACTTCCCAGAGGGGCTGGGTGTGACTCCTTTTTGGGTCCTGGCAGGTGGAGTACGTGATCAAGTGTGACATGTCAGCACTGCAGAGGGTCCTGTACCGGCACATGCAGGCCAAGGGCGTCCTCCTCACCGATGGCTCCGAGAAGGACAAGAAGGTCTGGGATGGGAAATCAGTGCTGGGAGGGATGGAAGTCTACTGGGAGGGATGGAAATCGGTGCTGGGAGGGCTGGGAATGGGTGCTGGGAGGGCTGGGAAATCAATCAGTGCTGGGAGGGCTGGAAATCGGTGCTGGGAGGGCTGGAAATCGGTGCTGGGAGGGCTGGAAATCGATACTGGGAGGGCTGGAAATGGGTGCTGGGAGGGCTGGAAATNCTGGGAGGGCTGGAAATGGGTGCTGGGAGGGCTGGGAAATAGGTGCTGGGAGGGCTGGAAATGGGTGCTGGGAGGGCTGGGAATCGATACTGGGAGGGCTGGGAATGGGTGCTGGGAGGACTGGGAAATCAATCAGTGCTGAGAGGGCTGGAAATGGGTGCTGAGAGGGCTGGAAATCGATACTGGGAGGACTGGAAATCGATACTGGGAGGGCTGGAAATCAATACTGGGAGGGCTGGAAATCAATACTGGGAGGGCTGGAAATCGGTGCTGGGAGGGCTGGGAATCGGTGCTGGGAAATCGGTGCTGGGAGGGCTGGAAATCGATACTGGGAGGGCTGGGAAATCGATACTGGGAGGACTGGAAATCGATACTGGGAGGGCTGGAAATCGATACTGGGAGGGCTGGGAAATCGATACTGGGAGGGCTGGGAAATCGATACTGGGATTGCTGGGCATGGGCCAGTTTGTTCCCACTGCGGGGTGGGTCGAGCTTGGTCCCCCCCCACCATATTTGGGTGATGCACAGATGCTCCTCAAAGCGGGTTTGTGAGAAGAATAAATACACAAAATAATTGGGAAAAGACACTTTTATCCCAGCTAAAAGGGACCTGCCCCGTTTTCCATCTTCATTCCCCCAAAGCAGCCTTGCCTCAAGTGGACTTGGAGGTTTTTTAAAGCTTTGAATTTAATGTCTCTGAGCTATTTTTTTTTTTTTTTTTTTTTTTTCGGGGGAGGCATTCCTGGGGGATGCTGGAGTGGTGAATAAAGATGGAATTCAGCATTGATATGGGATTTTAAACTCCTGGATGGTTCCTGGCAGGGGAAAGGAGGCACGAAGACTCTGATGAACACGATCATGCAGCTACGAAAGATCTGCAACCACCCCTACATGTTCCAGCACATTGAGGTGGGGCCGACGTGCAGAAAAATGGAGATAAATCCGGGGGGGATGGACCCAAAACGGGCATAAACCCAACAGGG